GCAAATAAAAATAGTATCGGACCTAAAACGAAGGCGTATCTCGGTTTCCCTTAGACACTGTTAAACACTATTTTTCACATATGTTACAGTTTTACTGATTCGCATCGGCTATAATAGTTATGATGTTAATACAAACCTGAATATATTTGCACAATTGCTTTTAGTATTAGCTGCTATTTGAAGAGTTAACGTTGTAATAAACCAGGTTTTGTTCTGTAGGTTGTTTAGTGTTTTATCCTTGTATGGCCCACGTGCTGGTGGGATATCAAGTATATCTACCCTGGTTCAAAAAAGTATACCTGGACTACAACTTTGTCCAAAGCACAGTAATCTTACTTAAAATAGTTCCACTTCCCCCATCCCTCCTCCAAGCCAGCAGTTTTGTCCTCCCTCCAGAACTATTAAGTGATTGACTGGGTACAAAACGGAGCCATCCACTACCTCCGCTAAAATGGCTTGAAAGACCTTTGTTAACGGACACGGAGTGCACGATTTCTTTCGATTTCTGGTAAAGAATTTTAAAATTAAAACAGGCTCATTCTCTGTAAGGTAACGTTTGCCTGGATTTCTGCCTCCTCTCTTCTTTTCGAAACCAGAAGGTCCCAAAATGTTTTCACTCGCAAACACCTCAAGCGCACTTATTGTTGGACGATTCGAGATCTCTTCTGGTATGAAGACTTAATGATTTCCAAATTTGCGCACGGACATTAATGATGCCCTCTCAGGTTTTGGTCTCCGGACCAAAACGATGCTGGAACAACGAGTCCTCCAATTTGATTTTCGGGGAAATAAGACAATGGTAGGGTTTGTGCCCCCTTGGCTCAGAGGTAATAGGCAGTTTATTACATTTATGGTTAAGCCGTATTACATTTATGGTTGTTCAGTTTATTACATTTGTGGTTGGTGGATTTATTACGTTTGTGGCTAAAAGTTATCACATTTATGGTCACTGTTACATTTATGGTCAATTTTTATTACATTTATGGTTGGCATTACATTTATGGTTTTTATTACATTTATGGGTGATACAAGTAAAGAGTTTTACGCATGTAGGACGGCGACGGCGAGGACGACTGCCATTAAAACAGTGTGTTTGGAATTTCGCATTTACTTAGATCTATTCAGTGTGTTTGTCGGTATTAAAACTTTTTACGAGTTATATGTTACGAATGCGCTCAGTTCCTAATAGAAATACGCAAAATTAGCCGTAGTGGGTCCCGTTGTCAAAAAAATTGAAAATTGGTCATTTCGCGTTGTTGCTTTGCAGAGGACGACAAAGGAATGTACCAAAAAATTAAAAGCACGTGCACAACCTTTGCTCTACTCATTAGATCTTTTGTCTGGTGACGTTCTCGTTGCTTGCCGTCGTGTTTTGCGTAAGGTCCCTTTCCGATGGATCCGACAAAAAAAAAAAAAAAAAAAAAAAAAAAAANACGACTTCAGTAAGGCTTCGGTAGGGAATGAAGTTGAAAATTCTACCAAATCCAATTTTGTTTTCACAGAAATACTTCGAATAAAGCAATAAATTTCATCCCGCCTAAATGAAAATTTGTAGGTTAATTGAACTGATTTAAAAAAAAAAGAAGGCTGGGATGAGTGAGTGAGTGACTGACTGACTGACTGACTGTCGGACTGACTAAATGATAGTGAGAAGAATAGGGAAGAATTATTTAAAACAGTTGATTTGTTAATCGCTTTTACCGTAAAAGTCACTCTTCCACAAGCCAGTACCCCAAGAAAGAAAATTCCACAAAAGTTGGCTTCGAGAACAATTTTATTCTCATCCAAGAGGGTGCTGCCGTTGTGGAGCGCCCTTTGGGGGAACTAGCCCAGTGAGCGAGGTACCCCTTGTCGTAAAACAGTCAAAACAAATTCAATACCAAGATTTATTTAATATCCTCGTTTTGATCCTTGACCTTTTTCTTTCTTCTCTGGATTACTCTTCTCAGAAAGTTCTGCTCTATTATTCACATACAGTATGCCTCCTTTTCAAAATCCTCTTCTTACAGTTGCTGATTATATGTATTTTCGAACTTAATTAGATGCACATACACTCATTATCTTTCCATAACAACTAAAAGCTTAAAAGATTGCTAGCATATGTTTATCACGCTATTTTAGTCACTAACCATATCTTCCCCTTATGTTAAACTTACACCTAAAATCATTCAATACAGCTATCACTGGCAAGTAATAACACTAAATGCTGCTAGAAAACATTTACCGAAGAGAAACCTGAGGTCAATCAAATAAAAAAAATAGTTAAATCCCGACTCAACTCTCAACTGTGCTATATGATACTGTAAACAAGAAGCAGCGTCCACATTGAGATAAATATTCTGAACTAAAGATGGATTATATCTAAAGGATACATTAGAACTTTATTCCATAGAGTTCTTCAAGTAACGCATTTACTGGAAGTTGTAAAATCAGCTGAAAGTATATTCGCAAGTATAGGTGTCAGAACCGAACTACGATGTCCCAAAATGGACGGGGCTAAATGCGTCAGTTCCATTATCAGTAATGGCAGATCACGAAACTTCAAAAACACTTCTCTCTAAAACCCAAAACTCATAACTAGAAGCAAGTAAAATACTGAAATGTGCACAGATGGACGCTGCCTATGCCTCAGTCGGGTAGCTACAGAGATATTATTTTCATTGTAAGAATTACGTAAGCTATAAAATCAGATAGAACTGTTTCATCTTTATGGAAACGGATTCACACTTTATGTTTCTAAAAAAAACAAGTTGTTGTCTTATTGTCGTTTGTTGCCTGGCAACCCAGTATGAGCAACAGCATGCTCATAAAGCTTAACGTTGTTGTAGTCTTTGTCATGGCTCAATATTTCAATGCAGTGATCTACAAAGTGATAGCCTGGCAACTTGACACCCTTCTCCTTAGCTCTGTAAAGGAAAACCAATACGGATAAGTGACGCTGGGCTGGGTGCATAATCTTATAAGATATGCAATTAAACTATTTTACTTATAAAAACACCTATCACTGATCAGTATCTGCTTCCGAAACTTCACTAACATGAGAAAAAGACTTTATCTTTCTCTCCTACATGTAGGTAAGGTCATGTGATGGGTATATACACAATGGCTGGTTTTAAACTTTGTGATCCAACTACTTTTGGAGTCGTCTTCAACCGCAATCTCCACAAGGGACATCCATAATCAAGAAGGTAGAGCTTAGGTTACTGATTCTGTTGTTACATTGTCCACTAAGAATTTTCTAAGTCTTGAGAAAAGCTTACTTGTAAGTAGTTCTGAAGTCACATCGGTAATGAACATCTTCTTTGAGCAACAGAGCCATGGTAATATCACCCGTCAGCACTCCATCACGCACATACATTTTCTCAGTGGATGGTTCCCATTTTACTGTCCTCTTCTGCATAACTGGACCATTGGGGGGAAAGTTGACACCATCAAATCGAACATTATTATAGAAAGTGTCGCCTTCCATTCTGATCAAAGAGAAGTGACATATAATCAGCGTTACCAAAGATACGTAAGCAAAGATACAAGAAAAGGATTTAATTAAAGGCATCGTTTGCACTACAGTTTAATAGAAACTCGTTCAATAAGATATAAGTGCCCCTGTACAAGGGGCACGGCAGTGATACCAGAAGCAATTTTTGTTTTTTTGGTCCTTATTGATATAAACACTGGCACTTAAGAATTAAAAGATAACTAAAATTCTAGTTCAAAATATTTCATGATTAGAATTTCCAGGATCATCAAAACAAAAAGGCGAAAAGACGCTAATGGGTTTGGAACTGAACAAATTTTACCAATCTGGATCACAATGCTATGTTTTTCCATGCGGGGAACAGATCAGCTTTACATTTTACTTACTTTATTTCGTTTTTGGCGATGCAAACTCCCCCGTCTTCGAAAGTCAGGCTTCGTTCCCAAGAATACCCCTTAGGAAACGACTGCTTGAAATAGTCTGTTATATGGTCTGGGTATTCAGCAAATACCCTGTTGCCGTAATGGAATGCTGTTGTCAAGATATCGTAGGCAAAAGGGAGAGGTCCGCCTTCTTTGACTTTAAGGTCCATACTCTGTTTTCCCCTAAAACACAAAAACAGGAAACCAAGGGTAAGGTAAAGTCTGTTCATATGCAATGCATTAGTTTTGTTCAGTCACGGAGTCCTGAGAAAAATACGAAGACAGAGATGTACTTAAGCTGATTAGTGTAAAGAACAGTTCTGAAATTTTCAGCTAAGTTCGTTCTCTTGGTACAACAGCATTCAATCTGTTACTTTATAAGGCCCAAATTAAACAAGTAAATATTTGCTGTCGACATAAAGAGTCTGACGCCAAACATTCAGAACCGCATGATTGTTGTTTTCTTCGTAGCTTTGTTTTACACGCACCATGAAACAATACAGTACGTTCCGATTGACCGAGTTAATAAATTGCTCGCTCTTTGAAATGATGCGCACTTTTTCTGTGCTTTCTTTGACACTAATGAAGACTCAACGACCTCTTATTGCGGCATGATACAGTCTTTTCTAGAAAAGAGAAACCAAGAGAAATAAAGTTCCTTAGAAAGAAGGTAGGAATCACTTGATAAACTAGAAATAAAGAGGTTTTTATAACTTGGCACTTAACAGACTTGTATAGCCCCCGCCAGTAATTTGGCAAATAGAGCTAACGCCGGAATTGGCACATAAAACAGAAGAAACCCAACGCTTAGCCCTGCAATTATTTTAACATAGAGCGAAGCTAAGTACATTTTAGGTTTCGATATCAATGTAAGGATAATAAAAGAAAAATTGAAATTCTCCATGTAGATTTTCTCGCTATGTGCTNAAAAAAAAAAAAAAAAATGAAAGTGTCGATGTAGATTTTCTCGCTATGCTCTTCGTCACCTTAATGGTCGCAAGCTTTGAGTGAAGAAAGATAGAGCCTGCATCTGAGGCAATATCCCGAAAGAAATACGGTTTAGTCGGATTCTCTAGTTCAACTAAACTAAGCACTGCTCGAAAGGAGACGACCGTACAACTGACCACAATGATTAAACATCTTTAAAATTTACTTACTCGAAAGGCTTGCCGTCTCCTAATCCTTCAATAACAAACGGATGCCCGTTTACAGCGCCTTCCATACGCAGCTTGATCTTCATTTCTGTTTTAATCACACTCTGTGGAATGAAATTGGGATTAATTCTAGATCTGTGAATTTGTGAAATTGAAGTAAAACTTTTTCTTCTGTGCAACACTTACCATGATGGTAGACGTAAAGTAAGATATCAGTCTTACAGCTCTTGTTGTTCTCGATCTGCTCTCTTCCACCAGGGTGAATGGGGCCTCAGCTCTGAGAGGTGCTGTTATAAACCTTAATGTCACACCCTAAATTCACCTAAGCCAATCACAAGCCGGGAGGACTTTATAACTGAGCTGACGAGATCTACAATGTAGATGTCTAACAGCATCCATACGTGGAAAGTAAAATTCCTCAAATCATTGTTCAATTCAAACCAATCTTAAGGTCTGATTAAATAAGATTAAAAATGGAAACTTAATTAAGTTTATTTGTTCACCTTGCAATTGAATCGCTTTTCATAAGATAGCCGGCATCGAAAGTATCGTCATTTTGCCGCCTTAAACGGAAACTTGATTAATTAGAGGCCTCCGAGGCAAAATATTTGATCGTTTGCGTGTACATTGGTCTTAACGTCAAATTAATGATATTAAAAAAAGGAAACTTAATTAATTTCGTTTATTTAACTTGTAATTGAACCTGCAATTGAACTTCTGCTCGTTATTAATAATGTCAGTTCCAATTGAAAGTCCCAAGATAGCTGGGAACGAAAGTGTAGTCTCTTTATCGCCTAAAACGGAAACCGTACCTGATTAATTATAGATTTCCATCAAACAAAATATATTATATTTATATATGCGGAAGTACATAACTTTTTTTTTTTTTTTTCTCAAATCAAACAGCTGGGCCCGGCGCCACAATATAGAATGCAAGCAAGCAACATGTCTTTCCATATTTTGTCCCTAGAAAGCAAATATCTTGCAGCAGAAATGAGCTTAGACAATGCATAAGCACATGGCAACGACAGAGGTGTCAACATGCAGATAACAGCAAATCGATTCTTTCAAAACAAAGGCTAACCGCCAGCGAATGGAAGTGACCGGTCCATTGAGCAGACGTTCGTGGGGAAGGAACGCGTGACGAGCCCTAAGAGCGTCTGCGTGGGAAGCTACACTTGGTCTTGGTATGTCGATTTTTTTTTTCTTTTACAAGTATAGTCCTGTTTAAACAGACCTCTTTCTTAACAACAGTACAGCCCTATTGCTGTTTTTGTTTTCTCGTTCCGCACTTCGTCTCACTCATTCTCCGAAGAGCCGTTGCAATGTATGGTAGTCACACAGCATCAAAAGGACAGTCATTTTGCAGGCTGAACTTAAAATTTGCTGATTACTCATGGCTGCTACATGGACTACACATGAAACACTGCACACAGTTTTCACGCTGTTCCTCTTATCAATGATTTCGATTTCCTATTATATATAACTAGCCTGTTGATATTACTACGTATACCGCGCTATGGATCACAATATTCTAAGGAGACACGTAATTTTAGATGACAACAGTTCTTGATTATACCGCGGGACTGATATATATATATATATGAACATTCATAATCTGAGAGTAGTTTATAGTACTGCTGCCATTTCTGCCTGTGATAGAGCATGCATATACTTTAGCTCATTTAACATCCAAGAGCTGGTTAAAGTATGCATGAATTAATCGTTCGAAATCCTTGTGCAGTGGGCTTTTTTTATTCGTTTGTCACACAGTACACAATCCGTGAATTCAGTTAAGAATTAAAAGTCTTGATACCCTTACATTAAACTAAATCGCAAAAGAAGGATCCTAAAAGAAAAGTAAAATCGAGTTGAAGCAACGCGAAAAGCAAATTGCTCCATTTTGCAACAACAGGCAAAGGATATTAACTCGAAAGGCAAATGAAATTGAATTAAACATTGAACTGGGCACGTTAGATAATAACAGAAAATCGAGAGAGAAAACTGAGCAAAATCAGGCTTGCACTACAGTAAAACAGACTCAACGCGCAAATTTAATTCTCTCAGAGCAGCTAGCTCTACCGTCACATTGTGATAGTCACTGGCATCAAAGGGGCAATCCTTCCCACGTCAACTCTAATCATAGTTATATTAACTATGCTCTACTACAGGTGTACAAACAAAACAGTTTAAGCTGCCGAGACGCCGATGAAATAATTATATAACACTTAACAAAAATCGTTTACATTAAAGCCCTCCTCTCTGGCTTTTACATGGCATACAGAAAAGAAAAAAAAAAAAGAAGTAATTATAACAGAAGAAGAGGACTTCAGAAGCTAGAGGAAAGTTAATAAATTTACAATGATACCCATAAATTCGTCTAAGAATCGAAACGGATATATTTCCTGCAGATATAAATACCGTTTATTGTAAGCTTTGGATGTCAAAATATAAATCATAATTTAATAAAAATATGATACAAAAATGTATGATATGAACCCGTTTCTTTTGGCTTAATGGCTGATTAGATCAGTCCTCCCCGCTGGGTTTCTAATTAATCAAACTACTACAGTGTAATTATGAACGTTTCTAAATTTCATTACTACAATTGAATAGCAGAAATACCTTGATTGCCATAAGTTATTAAGTAACTTAACGTACGTAAATAACGCCTGATTACAAAATGAATGTTCTTGTAGAATGGTCCACACAGCCCAGAAAGGAGGGGAGCGAGAGGGGGGGGGGGGGGG